TTTGGTCTGATCATAATCTAATTTTTTCCAATTACGGAGGACACATCCTAGAGGTGTTTTTGGATCAGATTTGGAGGCAGTAGACCCCATGACGGATTAGACCTCGGGTAGAGAGAATGAGTTGAGAGGCATCCCCCTTGGGTATAATCTCTCCACGGAAAGGGAAGGAAAAAGGAAAGTATCGACTAGGTGTCCCTGAGACCAGACGATCCTTAGGGTACCCCTAGGGCACCCGGAATGGATGGGGAGTGTTCCTGGCATGGCCGTGACTACAGACAGAAACACTCTGGAGGTCCAAAAACGAGACTGAGGTCACTTACCTTCTCAACCTGATGACTGTGTGAGAGGTCCGATGGAGGGGCTCTAACTAAAAGGCATCCAGCCCCTCCCGGGTTTCAGCACCAGATGTTAGGTTTGATTTGGGAGTGGTGGTGAAGTTGGAGGCGGCAAAGGTGAAAATACCAGAGTCAGACTTCGGGGTTTAATAAAACCAACATAATTTATTCTGTGCTCTCAGGTGAGGTCCCTCAGCCTCAACCAGGGTGGATGCTGCTTGCTCTTAAAGGGCCATTGTCCAATAGGTGTTTGCCATGAGTCCTTGTCTGGTCAATGAAGTTCGCTGTTTCTGTTAAACTTTGGTGGGCACACCAAATGCTGAAGGGCAGGAAAGTCCATTGGTGATGGCGGGCCAGGTGTGGACAACAGGAAAGTTCCTGCTGGCGGAAATGTTTCCGCCATGTTTCTTTTCCCTTCTTCCAGACCTTACACCTTCCTTTTCCAATCATCACCCTAAAAGCTATAAAATCCACTTATGACCTATAAGCCCCCTCTCCCTCATCCCCACCCTCCTTCCCACATGTCCCGCCTCTTTGGGCCAGACCAATGGAAAAACTTCTCATTAAATTCCAAACTCTGTCTCTCGTCCTCAAAATCAAATAAAAGGAGCCCCTGTACCTGGTCAGCCTGAGAGAGAAAGGCATGTTTTGTCTCCTCTCCAGGCCTAGGTCACTCATATTCTGCTTGGAAATAAACTGCATTAAATATTAATTATTAACTTTTTAGAGTTGGTTATTTTCTGTCGATAAGATGGCAACCACGAAGGGATCAGAGATGAACCGGAGATCTTCTGAGGGGACACTTTGAACCTGGTGCCTGGTACCAGTAGTGGGCTCTTTGGCTCTTTGTGCCCTCTCCGGCTCCAAGCCTCTCTTCAGGGAAGATTGGTAAGTTCTCTGGCCCCAGACCTCCCAAAATTTGGTAGATGGTCTGATTTATTTCTAAGCTGGTTTTTACTTGTTCGTCTGTCTTTTGTCTGTCTGTTTTGGGTAACCCAGGTTCGCTTTCCTCCAGTGGAGGGGCAGTGGTTTGCTTCCCTCTCATGAGGAGGGGTGGTGGTTTGCTCTCCTCTGAGGAGGGGCAGTGGTTTGCTCTCTTTGAGCAAGGTGTAGTGTTTCATTCCCCTTTGAGTGGGCAGTGAGGAAAACCAAATGTATGAAAGTTCGTTATTTTTTTTT